TTGAATCAATCTGATCTGCTCTATTTTTAGATCTGTGAATGGATGGGATGATACACTTGGAGAACCCTCCTTGAATAGGATCTGGTGTTTGGAGATTTATGTCCTCATTTGAATATTCCAAAGAATACGTCTCACTTTTTGGTGTGGCGCTGGCCTCCATTTGTCTGGATTCCCCTTCAGCTGATACTCCGGATAAACAGTTAAGGTTGTCCAACAGATTCCCTGTGGTCTCCCTTGACATCCTGTCCTGTGTTTGACTTTCTAAAATCTCAGATTCCATTTTCTTTAGCAATTGTGGAGGAGAGGAATCCACACATGTGGACCAGGCAGGGGAGCAGGTTATTATTGTGACTATTTGCCACTTTACAGGGATTTCCTCCTGAATAAGAACTTTGCAGGGTTGTGGGAATGACCACTCAGTCACAGACATTAAGGAGATTGTCTTCAAATCTGCAAACATGACCCTTTTTTTAAGAAATTCAGCTTTGTTGACTGTAAAAGGAATTCGTCCGACTTGTTGAAGGCCTTTATCCTCCACATCAACATTGTGAGCTTGACCCTTCATTAGTTGTAATGAATAGCAAACTTCTTGATCCAAGTTCTCTGCTTTCATGTGACTCTCATCTTCTGTGTTTGAATTCCCTTCAGCTAAAATGTCTGCCCCAGGATCTGGACTTTCAGGTTCTTCACTTCTAATTTGATTACTTGTTGAGTCATCCGCAGTATATTTACATTCATTTCTTTTCCATTGGCTCTGTTTGTTGAACACTGGGTCAGACACCTGTTGTTTCTTTCTTTTAATGACAGCTTCTTCTTTTACTTTAGGTGCAACCCTGTCTCCTACACCAGGCTTCTCATGAGATAAAGCAAAGTCACTTTTCGTACAAACAGTAGCGATGTTTTCAAATTTGGTCATTAATGAGTTTAGGAGGATCCCTCTTCCAATGTGTCTTGGTTTGAGGTGCTCTTTCTTCAGGGTTTTCACTCCCTGTTGTTTCTGCTCAGCCATGGCAAACTTGGCCACCATTTCTTTAACACTACCACATCTTTTTAAGCCTTTGTCTCTAATGTCAGTGCTATGTTTTCTGTCATTATTAGGGTTGTCTCGACCTGGTCTTCCTCTGGTAAAAGACAGAGTTCCTACCTCTCTCTGGTTGGTGTTATAGGGTTTGGGGGAAGACCTCAAGAACTTAGATTGGAGGAGTAGGAATGTGGTAAGGTGCCGTGATGGTAAGTCTCCTCTTTGATCAGCTTTGCAATTTTTAGAAGTCTTGGGATCAGCTGCTCTTTTCTCTGATAGCTGGACCACTTGGAGGCCTTTTGGAGCCTTTTTCCCCCTCTGCAGATCCAGTTTATCTGTGTTTCTTGCGTGGATTTGGGACACAGTGCCGGATTCTTGCATTTCCATCCTTGTGTGATTGTTTGTCCTCTCAAGCAGATCCTGTAGTAGATAATTCAGGAGACTCTCAAAGATCCCTCGGAGGACTGGTCGGCATTTGGGGTCTCTAACTAGCCTCCTTAACGCACCAACATCGGGGTTGATTCCGGCTTTCCGACAATCTGGTCTACAGAGAATAGAGGAGATGCAAGACGTCTTGAAACTGACAGCAACATCCTTAACAACAACTTGGGAATTAATCTATAAAGCAAAATATGGAGTTTTTATTTATCTGTAATACTCCAAAAGAGAGGTTTCCCGACTTCATCTACTTTTTTCACTTCAATCTGCAAGTGAAAAAATCCTCCCTCTCCCTCCCGCTGTTTGATTAGTGATTTTATTACTGCAGCAAAAGCAAGAATTTTAGTTTTAAGTCACATTTGAAGCTAATGAAATGTTCCATACTACATTTCGTTGAACTGTAGTATGGAGCTGCAAATCAGGACAAAGAACTCAGCATTAAAATAAAAATGGATGCTTGAAAAATAATGTGAAGACAATAGGACAGTCATTCAGTATAGCCTGTTTTGAGTAGGCATAGGTTATCAAGGTAAACAAAAGGTTTGAAAAGATTATGCTTTTAGCACTGCCACTATCTTCTGTCACTCTATCCCTGCAGTCTAAAGTCCTTTAAATAAGATAGCAGGGTAAAAGTCGAAGTGACCGGAGTCTTCTCTGTCTGGATGAGATGTAGCAGCTCACTTGCTCTCTCCTCCCCTAAACGTTGCTGCACTTTGCAGGTCAGCTGGCTGAATTTTTCAAGCTTACAAGAAAAATAAATGTAGACTTATAAAAGTTCCACCGACCAGTTTTTTTTATATCTTGGACTCTATTTAGAGCATAACAGAAAGAAATGCAATCTTAATTAGCATGTGTCTGTGTATATTAAATTTTTGGTTTAGTCCATGTATCAAAAACAAAACTATGCTAAACTAACAACAATAAAAAATGTGTGCTAGGATTTTTATTAACAGCAGAAATGATTGTTTTTCCGTTTTAAGTTGCAACGAATAATGAAATTGGTCACCATTTGAACAAGTATTAATTGGTCGAAGATCTAAATATATTTCTCAGTTGCATGGTCAGGTATAAATCACTTCAGAGATTCAAGGACCAGGGATCAACAGGAGGAGCCAAGATTTAGCTTCTATGCTCCTCATATGTGCAACAACTCCATGCAGAAGCCTGAAATGTGCAGAAACGGATCTAGACTGAAACATAAATGCATACTGCAGCTTTTGGTTCAAGAGTTTAACTAATTAACTATTTCTCAAACCACTGTTGAGTGATTATGGTGTGAGATTTAAGATTCAGTTTGTATTTGAATGTGTTTTCAGATGCTTTTCAGAGCATTATGCTTTTGTTATTTTAAGGTTTTTCTCCTGAGTTTGTGTGAAACAAATAGGTACACTGTAAAAAAACTGAAATATCAATAAGTTATTTTCTTAAAACAAATGCATTTTTCTTGAATTTAGGAGGTAAGTTAGAGACTTTGCCAATGGAACAAGAGAATTTATAGGTAAAATAATAAAAAAACAATTAGATTGTCTTATTTCATGTGCATATTATCTAATTATTATTTTATTTTAGGAGTAAAAATATTCACTCCATTGATATATCCTCTTATTTACCTACTTAAATTAAGGGTAAATACACTTACTTTAAGAAGTTTTTAATTATTTCTGCATTGTTATTGCAGTGTACGGTATGAATGGTAGAATAAAAAACATGCCTTGATTTTAGATATTGTGTCAGCACTGGACTACCCTGGTATATTAGGTTATCATTCCCAAAAAAATATTGTACCTTGATGCATAATTTCTTTTTAAATATATACATTTTTATTTTACCCCAAATCTGTGTGACTTCACACCATAATGAGACACTTTCACACTTCGACAATCACAGCAGTTTTATACATTTTTAACACATCCATTCAAAATACAGGTGCTGGTCATAAAATTAGAATATCATGAAAAAGTAGATTGATTTCAGTAATTCCATTTAAAAAGGGAAACTTGTATATTATATTCATACATTACATACAAACTCATATATTTCAGATGTTTATTTTGTTTAATTTTGATGATTACAAATGACAACAAATGAAAATCTCAAATTCATCATATCAGAAAATTAGAATATTGTGAAAAGGTTCAAAATTGATGGCCCCTGGTGCCACACTCTAATCAGCTAATTAACTCAAACCACCTGCAAAAGCCTTTAAATGGTCTTTCAGTCTAGTTCTATAGGCTACACAATCATGGGGAAGACTGCTGACTTGACAGTTGTCCAAAAGACGACCATCGACACCTTGCACAAGGAGGGCAAGACACAAAAGGTCATCGCTAAAGAGGCTGGCTGTTCACAGAGCTCAGTGTCCAAGCACATTAATAGAGAGGCGAAGGGAAGGAAAAGATGTGGTCGAAAAAAGTGTACAAGCAAGAGAGATAACCGCACCCTGGAGAGGATTGTGAAACAAAACCCCTTCAAAAATGTGGGGGAGATTCACAAAGAGTGGACTGCAGCTGGAGTGAGTGCTTCAAGAACCACCACACACAGACGTATGAAAGACATGGGTTTCTGCTGTCGCATTCCTTGTGTCAAGCCACTCTTGAACCACAGACAGCGTCAGAAGCGTCTTGCCTGGGCTAAAGAGAAACAGGACTGGACTGCTGGTGAGTGGTCCAAAGTCATGTTCTCTGATGAAAGTAAATTTTGCATTTCCTTTGGAAATCAAGGTCCCAGAGTCTGGAGGAAAAGAAGAGAGGCACTTCATCCACGTTGCTTGAAGTCCAGTGTAAAGTTTCCACAGTCAGTGATGGTTTGGGGTGCCATGTCATCTGCTGGTGTTGGTCCATTGTGTTTTCTGAGGTCCAGGGTCAACGCAGCCACATACCAGGAAGTTTTAGAGCACTTCATGCTTCCTGCAGCTGACCAACTTTTTGGAGATGCAGATTTCATTTTCCAACAGGACTTGGCACCTGCACACAGTGCCAAAGCTACCAGTACCTGGTTGAAGGACCATGGTATCCCTGTTCTTAATTGGCCAGCAAACTCTCCTGACCTTAACCCCATAGAAAATCTATGGGGTATTGTGAAGAAGAAGATGCAATACACCAGACCCAACAATTCAGAAGAGCTAAAAGCCACTATTAGAGCAACCTGGGCTATCATAACACCTGAGCAGTGCCACAGACTGATCGACTCCATGCCACGCCGCATTGCTGCAGTAATACAGGCCAAAGGAGGCCCAACTAAATACTGAGTCCTGTACATGCTCATACTTTTCATGTTCATACTTTTCAGTTGGCCAACATTTCTATAAATCCTTTGTTTTTATTGGTCTTCAGTAATATTCTAATTTTCTGATATGATGAATTTGAGATTTTCATTTGTTGTCATTTGTAATCATCAAAATTAAACAAAATAAACATCTGAAATATATGAGTTTGTATGTAATGTATGAATATAATATACAAGTTTCACTTTTTAAATGGAATTACTGAAATCAATCTACTTTTTCATGATATTCTAATTTTATGACCAGCACCTGTATAGAGCTCTAAGGTTTATTTGTGAGGAAATAGTATAAATTATTTTTTATCATTCGAAGAAGAAAGGAGTTAAGCAGAAGCTAGCTGCTGAAGCAGGATTACTCAAACTGTAAGGCAATTAGACTTGATTGCATGTTCTCTAAATTTCATATTAATAACAGTTAGCTTTAGAAAAAAGGGCAACACCCAGAGAAAGTAAAGATCTCCTTTACTTTCCCCAAGTTACTGTAAGTTAAAAAAGCAGGAGCTTTTTTCTTTCCCCACAGCTCTGTCACTTGCAAGTAAAACAGTTTAAGCAGAAAGCAAAATATCCAGATTTAGGTAAACTACACATGAATCATGTGTGAGATATTTCAAGAAGAATGTCATTTCAGTTCCTCCCTTATGATATTTCTCAGTTATTCTTTTTTAGTGAGACAAAATTTGACCTTTTAATAAAAAAAATCATGACAGATGTGTGGATAGTACCCAGAAAGAAAAATCAAAATGGGAAAAGGAGTGAGAGGGGAAAAGAGGACAGAACGTCCAGTAATAGTACTCAGGGACTGAGGGAGGGTTGTGTCAGGCCAACAGGGAGGCGTCACGTTCAGTTTCTCTGATAGCAGTAGGTTCAACTCAGTGAAGATGAGGATTACTTCTCTGTGCATTTCTCTGCAGATGCTGCCTTATAGAGTGCCTCTCCCAGCTCCTCTAGGTGTTCTCTTTTATCCAAATCCCGGTAGAGGTTCAGAGGAACCTGGTTTATGCCATACATGAGGCCATAGAGGCAGCCTGCGATTAGACCTGTGGCTTCACTCTCACCTAAAACAACATTTAAGCACAGTTATACTCTACTTATGGTGTCAGCAGTTTCTCCTTTACAATACAGTGCATAAAGTATCATAAAATGAAGCTAAAGTCTAAATAATCCATAAAAACTCTCAGGAAGTCAGAAGCAATATTATAAGAGACCACTTTATAATATACAAGCGATAACAAATTTCTCACCTCCATGAAACATGGCTCGTTTACACAGCTCTGCCCAGTCGCCTCCTGCAGCCAGAAGTGCATCATAAGCGATCATGGGAGCATCATGACCTCTGCGCCCTGCTCGACCCTCTGAGCTCCAACGCTTATACATCTGTTTAAAAAAAAAAAAAAAAAAATGCTCTTGTATTTTAGTGGGTTTAATCTGGATTTTGAATTATAAAAAAAAGCACCAAGGGACTTGCTTTATCTGTCTCTTCTGCATCATAAGCATCAGGAAATGATGGTTTGTTGTTTCCATCCTTATCAATCTCTCGCTCTTCAAGGTAAAACTGCCATTTAGCTTCAAAATAAAACCAATTTTCCTGATATTCTGTAGACAAATATAGGACACACAGTGATAACTCATCTGGATGCTGAATTTCAAGGATTTATTGTTCAAATGATGTAAAGTGAACTTTAGTCCAACCTGCCATATGACGTATTGTTTTCTTGCAGAACTCCTCTGCACGGGGGATGACCTTCATGAGCTCACGGCCCCAAGTCACAAGAGGTTTCCCCTGGATTGCAAAGGATGCAAATAATGCTGTTGTTAGGGAGCCAAGGAAGCCTGAGAGCAAGAAAGACACCATAAGTGATTTTAGCAATTCAAACGGTTGATGTGTTTAATTTAATGATAAAGAGTACATAGAAATAGTAAAATATCTCCATTAATATACCCCATGCAGACATTTTGTTCTTCATTCTTTATGTTCTATAGTGTCTAGAAACCTTTAATTAGTAATTCATGACATATAAAGTGACCCAGAAGCCCATTTTCCTAATATGCTGGTCAAAATAGGATATAAAACTGAACACTGACTGCCACAAAAGCCAGGCGCATATTGGTTGTTTTATGTCAGAATATGGTAACACAAAAATAACTTTTGTCATGTCCATATCTACAGTAAGAACTATAATTAGAAAGGTTTTAACAACTGGAGCTGTGACAAAAGTACAAAGGATGAATGCACAGAAAACCAGTCAGGCTGAGAAGAGTGCATAAAAGAACAAATATTCCATTTGTTTTATGTAGGTTCATGTAGGGAACTATCTAAGACATGGGGCCCTGTATGACCAAGAAGTTTGATCCTGTCCTGCAAAGCATTATAAGAAAAGACGGCTGAAAACAGGTGTTTGTACCAAAGTTTGTGTCAATACATGTGGTTAATTGACTAAATCTCTATACTATATTGACAATGCTGACATTTTTATGTTTTTTATGAGCCTTAAACAGAGGGGGTGGACCTAGGTTTCAGCCTTCAAAAACATACAACGCAGCGATAGAGTCGATTCCGTGCCGCTATCATAATCCTCATCATCAGGCAGGGGTTCCGGTTCAATTTGCATGTTTTCTAAGCCAAGACAAGGGTTTGTTTTTGGGCTACCCTATAAAGCCTGGAACTCATTGCTAGTTCTGACATTTTTTATTGAAAAAAGCTTCCTAGATGGGAAGCGAAATTTCTTTAAACTTGGAAAACAAAGTCCAGTGGATTATTTTTTTACTTTTTTGGAATGACTATCCCTGCGATGGACTGGTAAACTGTGCACGGTGTACCCTGCCTCTTGCCAGCTGGAGATAGGCACCAGCACCCCTTGCCACCCCGCTTGGGATAAATGTGACGGAAAATGGATGGATGGATGGATGGCATGACTATGACCTGGATGACTGAGAATCTTCATCAGCATGAGCCTTTTAGAGCAACTGAACTCTGAGCTAAAAGAAGACATATCAAACACAATGAATAGCATGTCATTACTGGGTTTCTAGTTTTATAAGAGGTCATCGTATCACCTGTTGGATGGTTATGGGTCATTCTTCCAATCTCAATGCTGACCTCCACCAAGTTATCCAGTCTCTCAGGCTGCCAGTATCTCATTCCGACACACATGGCTTTGGCTGCTGCTCCAAACCCAGACCCTGGACACCGATGCACATTTTTACTATATTGCTTTTTGGTATATGAAATAAAAATGCTTCCTTAAGCCTAATCTACCCTTTTCATTGAAAGGAGTATGCCAAGCGAGCAGGAAGTTATGAGGTTTAAGGTGAACGCAGGGCTCTACGGTTGCAGGATCAGGAGCTCGTCCCTGGAGAGAGACCATGGCTTCCACATAGAGACGCACCGCTTCCCTGTACAGGTCCTCCAGACACCAGTAATCTGGACACACACATAGACACACATACAGTGGTTGTGACATTCATGACTGGCATGCAGAGCAAGATAAGTGGTGCTGCGATGAGCTAAGTTTAGCTGCTCTCTGCCACAACACAGATTAGGACCTGAATGCCTGTGGTGAAAAAAAACAACAATGTAACATCAGCAAACTTTGACTTGTCCTTGAACATTTTATTGGTAAACACTGCATGGGAGTAATTCTGTAGAGACATAGAGTCTACAAGTTCTCAATTAAAAACTTTCACTTATGTGGTTAAGTAGTTTGAGTTGCATCATTTCTAATGCTTCCATGTTACCCATCAGTCTATAATACGTATCTGCTTAAAGCCTGACATGTATTTATTAGCTGTATCTTAATACATTTTAACATTTTATTTAGTGTAGACTTAGAAAAATATGTTTCAGTATCTGAACTTTGAAAGTCTGACATAAAAGTGCATTCTCCATCCTGTTCCTGCCAGCTGGTGTCTCTCCATGTTGGATCGTTGCTAAATAGGGCTTCCTAATCTCAAAAGATGTCATCACTATTTTTTCTTAGAAGCACTGTCACTACCTATAGAGTGGATTTGCAGCCAAACATGATACCAGAGGCCACTGAACCTCCATTGTTCACAGGTCGGCTTTTCAATAGAAGTCTATTTTGGACGTTTTGAGCTCTCCTTTCGGTAACAGGCTGCAGGGAAGTGTCTTTATATACAGGGGCGGATTTAGGAAATTTTGGGTGCTCTACCAATCATGAGTAACCAGCTTGTTAGAGAGACAAACACCTACAGTTAATGTCTAAGTGAGACTTCTGTTTTGTAATCCAGCTTCTTTCTTTAAATGTTATTTTCTGTTTGCTGAATCTGCTATGTCATCTGGAGTTCGAGTGGAAATAAAGCAAACAGTGTACTACTTCATGTTACAGGGAAGAACTTACCATATTCTCACCTGCATACTTAACATACTATCAATAATGACATTAGAGATTTTTTATCAAAAAATATCTTGTGTTTCTTTCACCTGAAATTTTTGGTTAATTATTGAATGTTATGTTTTTATCTCTTTTTTTAAATATCAATTGCAGATAACTATATTTATTGTAAATTTGCATCATGTTTAAAACATTAAATCAGATGTTATGGAAGTTACTAAGTAAAAGAGTTGCCTTTTTACCCCAATCACTTTTTCACCCTTGAAGAATTTATTGGCTGATAACTTTTGACTTGAGTGAAAATATGATGTACTTCTCCTCCTACTTGAGTAAATTTTTAGAGTCCTCTACTCGCCTCTATGCATTTATATTATTCTAATCAAGATGTTATGTTTATGCATTTAGCAGACTCTTTTACCCGAAGCGACTTACAAAATAGAGACAATTTTGCAGTTATCAATTAAGCATATCTTTAGAAAAAAGACAAAGTCTTGGTTTCATGTAAAGATGTATATAAATGTTCAGCAAATTAAGATGTTCATTTTAGTAAGGCAATGTAAGCTTATTTTAAATGTAATTTAAAGGACTGTACATGAAAGACACAATGGGAAAAGGTATTGCAGTGGCATAAAGGTATTTGAACTTAATTCCTAAGTTTCCTCAGTAGTTATACAAACAAAAACAAATTATTTCTATTGAAGTTCATCTCTAACCTACCTGTTATGAGTGCTTCAGCTGTAGTCATGTGCATCAGCACTGCATCACTCAGGGGCCAGTTCTCAGGGTCCAACGTAAGGGACTCCAGTCCCCCCAGAGAGGCCAGCTCCTCTTGGATCTTCTTGCCTGATGTGCAGCTCTCCCAGCGACCCTTTTTGTAACCCAAAGCATCACCAACTGCACCGAGAACCATGGCAGCTTTAAACTTCTCCATGTTGCTGGAGTTTTCTCTTGTTCAGACAGAAATACCCTCCTGGATGAATCTTATTGCAGCTCTTATAGTACTTCCCAGTAGAAGTCATGGAGCGGAGAGCAGACCAGAATAAAAAACAAAAACGATTTGAACTTTTTCAAACTCCTCCAACCATTTTCTCCATCTCTGAAACACCACAGCTCTGCTTCCCACCTTCAGAGCTCTTTATTTTTTTAAACCAAACTAAATTTAAGTAGCAAGGCTGAACCAGCCCACCCTCACCACACACATGCCAACATTAAAGCAACCTGTTATCAGCCGCAGCTTCTTTGTGTTGGGCAGTGGTGAGCTAAGCTGTGTTCAGGCATCTCCTAAAAAGGGAATCCCTGTGGTCCAGAAGCTTAAAAGCTGGACGACAGGCTGTGGAGCAGTAATCAGGGATGGACACAGAGTGGAAGGGATGCTAATGTGCTGCTGGCCTTGAGTGTAAACACGTCCAGCAGCTGGCACTGGAGCTTATCAATGTTTCACCTGCCCAAAGAGAGGATCCCCTTCTTTTAATAAACTACTTTTATTTAAAAAAAAAAAAAACTCTTTCAGGGGCTGCTGGGATCACATTGCTAATTTATAAAGTTTTATAAAGTTAAATATTTTTCTGATTTGACATTCTAAAGATAAAGCTTAACCAGAAGAGCTGATGACGACACGCAGCGAGAATGCAAACTGATAAGAGACAACTGGTATTATGTTGGACATCCCTCTGTTGGAGCAGCTGGTTCAGTTAGATAGGGCTTTTTTTTTTTACCTTACCTTCCCTGTTTGCGTAATTTGCATCATTTCTAACTTTGACCTAAACAGACACCTGTTCTCCTTTTAGAGCTGCAATGGAAAATTTTTTTTGCATACAGCATAAGAAGGTCACTCAATGTTTCCTGAACACAGCATGACTTGCATCGTGCAGATCATGTAAAATAATGTACTTCGACTACACGTCTGTAAATAGTTTTGACGAAGTTATAAAACTACGTTTAATCCAAAGCATGAAACTAAAAATATAAATCTAGAGAACACCAGACGCATGAATTCAGCAGGATGAAAGCAACTCTTCGTGCTTCAGAAAACCAAGTTCCTTTGGAAGATTTCATTATCCTAAGCTTGTTGGAAAAGCTTTGGCTGGGATGCTCTCTTCATGACAGACACACAAAGCAGGGTCAGTTAGGACATGAATAATTGAATTTGGTGTGTAATAAATCTTGATTTGCTCAACTGAACTTGTTTAGGTTGAATTAAAAACAAAAAATAGTTTATCATTGACAAAAAAAATGCTTCTAAACCTTGTTTTTTTAATGCTAGAAGTGATGAAGCTGTTACAGCTTTAGTGAAAACAAACAAACAGCAGTCTTTGTTGGCTTAATCTTTTATTATTAAGAATGAAACAACTGAGAAATGATTTGTTCCATGAACAGCGTTTTTTATACTGGCAACATTTAACACTGTTTTAATAAGATGAATCTGCAAAACAAACAGCTGACAATCGATGACGTACGGCTGATTTAACATACTGCTCACACTGCAAACAGATACTCATAACTTCATGTATCTCTAGATGTAACTCTAGATAAGTTACATTTATCTTTTAAAGAAAAAAAACGCTGTTTCACTGGATCTCACTCAGCTGATATGATGAAGAACATGGCACTTGATCTGGATTTAATCTGGAGTTAACACATAATCCTTTGGACTAATCTCTATAATTTCACTCAAACTCCACTCTAAAAACAAACTTATTCATCTAAACCAAAGGAGCTGTTTTAACGGTGCATAGCTGCTCTGCCATAACATAATGCATAATCCTCAGTATGGCTAAGTTTATGTTGCGGTGACAACCTGCAGAAGAAGCTAAATGTCCAGAACAGGAATTGGAATTGGCTGCTACCTGAGCTCTGCACGCTGCATTTAGCATACGCAGGCTTGCTTTGTGTTTTACTATCAGTAACTCTGATAACACATTGTTGTTTTACCTGCTAAAAGATAAAGTCTTTGACTTAGCATTAGCCTACAGTACAATTATAATGCTATAACCCTCAGCCACAGCTAGATGACAGCACAACAGCTTGTAGACCTTTTGATTAAGAGGCAGTGCACACTTCCTCAAACAGTGTAAACAAACATTTAAAGTACTCTTGGCTCTACATGGCTGACTTAAAAAAAGGCGAAGTTCACTGTCATGTAAACGAAATAGCTCTATGCTTGTAATCCCTACAAAATAAAAGTGTAAATCAGTGCAGTTTGTAGAGGTGACAAGGCTTCACCTGGGTAACAGAAACCAGTCCACATAGAGGTTGAAATTCAAGCTCTAAGGCACCGCAAAGTCAGCCTGAACTAAACAATGTAAAGCTTTTTATTTTTATTTTAAAAATGCTGTGTAAGGGAATAATTGGATTCCAATATATATGAATGATCTCATTGAGAACTGGTCTCTTATCACTATAACAACATCTGTATGCTGGTGCTGAGATAGAAAACTGGATGCTTTGCCCAGTCCTCAGATATAAATCAGCTATCTAGTATCTCATTGAAGATGAAACATTCTGACATCTTAAGTCAAAAACCAGGATGTTCCATTTTGTGCAGAAGGAAACATTTTACCTTCATCCAACACACTTGTACAACATACAGTAAAACCCCCCAAGCACACACACTCTTGTCTGCTAATACTGTGATGACCTCAAAGACATTAAAAAACGCCATCCTGACAGAACAGGCAAACTTTGACACGGTTTCATTCACAAATACGGGAAGTTAAAAGCCAATTTTTAGCCAGGCTGCCTGCTTTGCTGAGCCTGTGTTTAAATGAGGCCACAGAAGCCGTCCAAACCTACCACCGCTGCTATTCTAAGGGACGAGTATTGCTTTACTCATTACCTTTTTAGATTCAACTTCCAGCATCTTCCCATAGCAGCCGACAGTAAAAACAAAACGGTTCCCTCTTTTCCCTGTTCTTTCTCTGCATTTTACCCTCAAATGGATCTTATGCAGCAGAATAATTATTGGAAATCTGAAGACCCACAAGCTTAGACACTTTCTGTATGCTACTTTGTACCAAAATCTCATTAAATAGAAAAAAAAAACAGGAGGGCAGAGAACAGCATCCCCCCTTAAAGTAGAGCTGCAATAGATATTACGTCATGTTGCGTTTATTTCCTGCTACAATCGGCCGAGCAAACTCCACAAAGTCATCAATGAGTACAGGCCAGGCACCTGAGGAGAAGGCAGAAAGGACAAGGATTAGTTCACATCTAGAGCTGGCAATTAACTCATTGGATGAGGAACCCTATGGAAAAATTGCAATGACTTGCAAATAAATAAGGAACTTTCTAAATTTTACATCAATCTGAAAAAATGCATTAAATTCCATATATAGGGAGACATATTGCTGCTAATTTTAGTTTAAAAACAGCTCAAATAAGTCAGATAGACAGAGATGCTGATACACATCAAGTATTGTTAAAAACTCTTAATTTGAAAGAGATCTTTGGATTTAAACCAATGAATATGCTTTGATGTCAACTACTCCTTGGTCTGTGGCTGTATGTTTAGGTTTGTTTTCCTGCTAAAAGGTGAACCACAGGCTAAAATCTTTTGCATCCTCCTTATAAGTTTTTTTTTTAAACTGTATTTAGCTTCCTGTCACCTCTAGGCAGTATCCCTGTCATAATCTTCCTGTTTTGGGTTCATAGGCTAAACAGTTCTCTGTCAGATGTGCACAGAGGGTTGGACCTGTCTGTTGCCATCCTTTGTCTTCCCAATCCTAGACAGACAGATGGAGAATGTTCATATATTAAAAACTAAATGAGATCTACGTCTAAAGAAAAGAAAAATGCAGCAAAAAATGCCGTGGGCCGGTTTCTATGCTCAGAGAGAGATCTGTAAAGTTTATTGAAGTTTTTCCTCTTTTCTTAATTAATAGGTGAGAGATACGCCGTGGTTACCAGATCTATCTGCCCCTCAATATTTTTTTTTTTTTTTGTGAGGCTCAAAGAGGATTCGTTTTTTTCTCCCCCTGAAGTTTTTTTTTTTTGTCGAGTAGATTGATAAACTGCGCTGCCTGCCCCTTGTAGTTTTTGCGAGGCTCAAAGAGGATCACTACTTTTTCCGTTTTCTATCCTGCTGAACTCCTAACATGGGTAAAGTATTCTCCTTTTTAATGTTTTATTCATTGTTTTTGCATGAGTGTCCAACTTGCTATATAAGCGACGTGCAACTCCAAAAAGTGATTGTTTCCCAGATTTTATTTTGTATTTTCCTCCAAAGCAGATGTGTTTTACTTCGTAATTGCGCCTCTCTTCCTGTCAGACCCATGAAATTGCTGCTGAATCACTAATTCGCTGCGTAGTCCAACTAAATCAGACCTGGGGTCTATCTCAGTCAGACCTATGCAGCCCCCTTGTGTAAAATCGTGCCTTGTGATCATCCCCATTGACTTTCAATGAGCGCTAAACGCCACAACCTCGCCCGACTTGATTTTCTGTCAGATCGGACGCAAAATCGGATTTGAGGAGTTCTGGCCTTTAGAGATACACAAGTCAAGGGTTAAATTAATGTGCATATCACATTTTTCATTTTATAAAACAAAGGGGGCAGGAAAAGCTAAACTAGTCCATCTTTAGTCCATTTCCATCTAGATTTTCTGAGGGTCTTTTTTTAATTGAGAAATACAAAAACAAGTGTCAGGGAAGGTGAAAGCATCAGCGTCCCTTTGCCTTTTCACTGGTTTCCCTCAAGGTTATAGAACGATTGTTCAAATACTGCATCTCAAACCAGGGACCATCCTTCTGGACTCACCTTCTTCATCGTAGTTTGACATGTCGTCTGCGATCATGTTGCCAAAGTCCAACAGGAGGTTCCAGGTGTCTTTGGGAATTGAGCGTTTGTGATGCTCCTAAAACAAGTTAAAGGAACAGAATAACCTTATCTTTACATTTTTACACAACCAACAAGTGCTCTGTGGGAGAAATAATTAGTGGATATATTTATTTAGATTAACAGTGCAACTGTCTAGTTGGAAAATGCAGCCAAAACATCTCTAGATCCACAAACTTAGATACTGGAAAACAAGGTGTCCCACACTTACCAGCAGGAAGCGGATCCACAGATCCAAGAACTTGAAACGACCTGTAAGAACTAGATTCCAGTAGGCCACAGCCATCTCTAGATCTACAAACATCATTTATAAGTTAATGTATTTTGGATTTACACTTTTGGATAGTTTCTAACATGATCTTCTTACCTAAACCTTTCTGGCCTGGGTTCTTAGCAAAGCTGAAGGTAAACTGGTAAAAGTCTTTAAATTTGCCCGTGTCTTTTAACTCCTGTTCGAGCCTGGGGAGAATAGCTCTAAGCTTTTCTGGACCATCACATCTGAAAGAAATAAAGATAAATAAAAGGGATAATATGATTAAATATAAGCTCTGTGTAAAAGTATTAAATATTTGTCTTTTCATGACTTTTACCCGAGCTCCACCATCCCATCAAAGAACTCCTTCCTGCTGAACTCGCACTGCGTGGCCGCTCTGAACTTCCATGCCACCACCAGGATGCTGATGCTGGCTGGATCCAGGTTTAGGTCGTCACAGAACTGCTGGATCCCATCGATGCCTATCTTATTCTCATCATGGGGGTCTGTAAAGGAGACGAAGTGATCTTAGCCACACAGATAGACAGATTTTTACACATGTCTGCTAAAAACTTGCCTTTGTATCTGTTGTAGAGCTGTTCAAGCTTCTTGCGGTCCACTGAGGTTTTCATGAATTCTCTGTAGTATAAACCTGAATCCTGGAAATAGTTGTTTATGGCGACTTCTAGTTTCCAATCATTCTGTGTCAGGCACTGCACAGCTGTCCTGTCCCCTGCCTGCGTGAAGGAGATAAACCGACGAACCGTATCCCTCTGGGATGCCTTCAGCTTGTTCTGTCACACAAATAAAAAAAAATAAGGGAATAAATACTTAGATATTTTTGTATTCCAGGCCAGTAGGTAAGGACGCTAAGAGCCAAAACATTTACCCTTTTTTTCCCTTTAATGGATGTCTGGAAGCATTGAAAAAAATCTTAGACAATTTTGTCATTTCAAACAATGACAAGGTATTGTGACTAAAACAGACAAAAAAGGATAAGCATAGAATTCCTAAAAGCACCGTTTTAACAGAATAGTGCAATAGCTACTGATGTAAAAAAAAAAAAAAAAAAACTGAAGTGATTTTGATAATTTTGCAAGTAAACAGGAAAGGGGCTACATATCAGTTTATATCAGTTTGCTTGTCCAAAAACAGCATTGTCTTTATTTGACAAGTAAAGCAAACAAGAAGTAAAGCAAAAAGGGAGGTCTGATGCATAATCCATCCATCCATTTTCCGTCACTCTTATCCCTGCTGGTGTCATGAGGGGTGCTGGTGCCTAACTAACAGTCTTGTTGTTGTTGTTTTTTTGGACCATGGGAGGAAGCCAGAGTACCCGGAGAGAACCCGCACATGCACAGGGAGAACATGCAAACTCCATGCAGAAAGACCCCGGGCTGGGAATCGAATCCAGAACCTTGTTGCTGCAAAGTAGCAGTGTTACCACCTGTTATAATACATGTTGTAATTAATTTAATTATTGTGCAGACTGTGTATTTCAGTGATTTGGTTGAGTTACCTCGTTAAATAAATAAATAAATAAATAAATAAATACCCAAAAGAAATAAAAATTTTTACTTTGAATGTGAAACTTCCATTCAAATAAAAGTGCTTTTTAACTTCCAGCCGCATCTCCGAGCAAATATATGATTTCTATCCAAATCTGAACATTCAGAAAAGTTTCAGAGTTAAGCATTGCATGCAGGAAAAAAAAAAATCAAGTTAGAGTCTAAAATCTTCTAAGCTGGAGTGATGTCACTTTCAAACAACAGCACAGCAATCATGCTGTCATGTTTTGGTGATCTAATAAGGATCACAGACCTGACTGATTGGATGATCAAACAGCAGGTGACCCAGATTCCAGTGGGAAGTCTGTGCTCAGCTCTACAGGTTCTCCTGACCTGCAGCTGCACAGGAAAACTGAAAAACCAAAAGAGCTCCGATCTCCAAATGCCAGGAAACCCGACCTCCCTTTACCGTAAACATTAGTGGCAGCTGTTTGGTGTCATCTTCTTCATCGCTCTGCAGATGCCCCTTTGTTTTATTTTTCTAAGTATTACCTACCATTTTATCACCAGCTGTTTTTGGTCAACTTGCTATCCCAGATCGCATTAGTGCGCATGCGCAAGAAAAAACAAACAACGCGTTCCAGACTAGAATCATGGGAAATGTAGTCCCGGTTAATTTAACAGGCTACAAACTTTAGAAAGTAGTATAAAAAGAATTTCTACAACAATGAACAACACTTTAAAAATAACTTGGTTGCTGCTTAATTAATGTACCGAAAATGTATTTTAAGTAATCTACAAAAAAAAAAAATTGTATTCTAAATGTTTTATGTACAATGGAGTACTAGTTTTTGGAATTATTTATTATTGTTATAATTCAGTAAACTCATGTTGAACTAGAGTAAGTCCAGAATCAGAGGCAAGTTAAAGTACTTATGACAGAGCAGTACCCGCCAGTTGGTGGCGGTAATGCTCACCTAACGTTTTTGCCAACAACCATAAAAATTTCACCAAGAAGAAGAAGAAAAAGAAGCTGAGGAAGAAGAAGAAGAAGAAGTAGTACCCGATATTTCTAAGAACTACAATTCCCAGATCAGCTCTGATAAAGATGTTTCGGAAGTAATCTGACGGTTGAATCAAACTTTTAGCTAAAGGCGACAGAAACACAAAGCAAAAGTTGTTTAATCTAAGGTGATTTTTTTTACGTTGCCGAGAATATGTCGTTTAAAAACACTAAAGGTTTGTTTGCTATTATTAGCAAAAACCGTGTTAGCAGCGGTGAGGTTATGTCACTATTGGAGAGAAGGTGAACCCAGCTGGATAAAGCTGGACTGACAGCTCCGAAAACTAACAAGAAGAAGATATATTGTGTACATATTAGAGAGGAGAAAATACATCTTTAAGTAAATGTGACGCACATTGGTGTTAGGTTTGACATACCTCTGATCTCTACTCTGAGCTGAATTGAGGGGCTCCGACACCAATGGCTGGACAGGGCTGGAGGAGGTCGGAGTAAACATGAAGTAAGAGCAGGGAGCGCCTCTGATACTCAGCTATGTGGCAGAGCAGGGGAGGGCACAACTACACGATTGTTTCTCTGCAGACATCCAGGACTCACTATACTAGGAGTTTCATCCAAACTAATGGACGTTTTTTTTCACCGACTGTGACGTATTCTGGTATGTTTATGTTATTTTTAGGACATGTTTTACTTTGTGTGTCGTGGTGGTTTCATATGTGAACCATGGATGTTTAATTAAACTGTTGGACTTCATTGTAAAGGCAAAAAAAAAACCTGCTTTCTAGGATTCTGGACTCGTTTAGATCAGTTCTAGTTACAGTAAGGAAAAACTCCTTATATATTAAAATTGGGATTGCCTTTTCTTTGAAAGATAGTTTGGGATTTTGAAGCCTTTATTTAAAAATAGGTCTTTTACAGTTTTTTAATGATAATCATTAGTTAAAGATCCCAAAGAGACACTTTTTGAAAAAACAGAACAAAATTTAATTTGCTATAACAGATTCATCCAATATTAACAATTAATTTTAGTTACAACATGGAAATAGGATAACTGGTCCTTAGTTTGAGCTTGGTTGTTTGTTCAGTTTGTCTCTGTTTCCCTTCGATTAATTAACACCGACACTCTGAGAGACCTTAAAGGAGTAGAATAGGATTTTATTTAAAGCCTGAAAAGCAGGATTGAAATAGGATAGTCCTTTGCTTTGTGTGACAGTAGTACCAAGCTTAAAAGGCAAATAATCTGCAGGCATTCTTTAACTTTATCACTTACATTAATTCTTCATATTCTAATACAGTTTTGTCTTTTTGCCACATATTTTTGTATATAGCAGAATCAACAGTGTAAATCTAAGCCAAAATATAGTTTCTTCAACAATCAACACAGTTAATGAAGTATAAACTTCAATCTTTTTGAATTTTGAAGAAACTAGTTGAAAATGCATCCATCAGTGTTTAATTGGATTTTTTTTTACACTACAATTGGTCTATTTTATGTAGCAAATAGCACTTTTGATGACCTGATTGTGTGTTGCAGATTTTCCATTTTTTTTTATTTGCAGCCCAGGTCTGAGCAGCGTTGTTCCTGATTTCTAGCAACTCCAGCAGAGTGGCAACAAAGGAAAGGAGGAAGTTTAACTCATGCTGCCAAAGGTAGGCTGAGCTCTGAGTTCAATGCATTCAGCTACATTTTATTGATAACTATCAACATAAACATGATCTGATGTGTAATTCTTTTCAGATTTTTAATAGAAATAGAAACTCTAAGGTATTAGTAGAAAGACAGGTAGCGCAGGAATGTTAACATGTGACATGCTCTGTCACATTGTTGCTCTATTTGCCATAATTTGTGTTGCAGCCACACCCTTGGTAAAGTGTAAATATAAGATAGCAGAATGTGTGTATCCACATCCTGCACTCTGTCTGAAAACATACCCTGTAAAAGCACAAATGTTCAAATAAAAATCTCTCATATTTGGCTAACTTGAGAGTGTTCCATATTCCTGTAGTCAGGCACTGAGATATTGTCTCGATGCATCAACCTAACATGTGGTTTTGCTTCCAGTTATTACAGCGTGTCAGAGCGGTCTTCTGTTCTAAGAATGCCTGTTTCCTTAACAACCTTTCATTTAGATACCAACCAGGATATCCTTCATAAAGACATTTCGAAAGAATGTAGCTGACATTATAAAAATTAAAATGATAATGTTTTGTTTGTAACTGCATGGGGTAGAGGATAAAGCTTTTAAGAGATTTTCTTTGAACGTGTAATCACTGTGGAAAAACTATTCCAGTGTAAGCTTTTTTTTTTTTTTTTACTGGATTTAATATTAAAATCTAATTACTCCGTTCCTCCTCCAGCTCCTGAATTTCTTCTCAAACTCCTCACCTTAGTGAAGTGGTTTGGATGCAGCTATTGTGCTGGCTGCTGTGCCTCGCCCTGACTGAGGCTCTCCCTGCGGTGCCAAAGGAACAGGTGGCCCGGCATGCTGTCAAGCTCTACCGGAGCAAAGGGCCAGCGCACGGCCACAGGTGGCTGACCAATAACTGCAAGCTGCTGGTGGGTCTTCTGCGGCAGAAGAATGTGGTCATCCACAAGCTGGCGGCAGCTGCAAAGGCTGTTGGAAGAGACCAAAACCTTTCAGAGCCAGAGAAGCTCTTCCAGGTACCACTCTATGAAACACCAGTTGGCCTTTTTATTCTCAGCTGAAAACCCAATAATGTTTGAGTTATGAGGTGTTCAAGCTGTTTAGGGTTAATTTGTAGCTTTTCAAAACTACTCGTTCTATATTACAGTCTAGGCGGTTAGGAAAGAGCTAACTTGTGTAGCAGAGTTAACACACATCCATGTGAAGCAAAAGTTAAGCCTAGATGATTACCTGTTAGACAGCAATTATTATCATTGTTTAAATACACACCACTTTATACAAGAAGAAGAAGGAATACCTTACAGTCAGGAAGGTAAACCTCTAAGTAGACAGTAGAGAACTTAATGGGTCAAAGGTCAATAACTTCAGCGTTAAGTTGGGAGCTAACTTATAAAGCTGTTCTCTTTGTGTGGTTATAAATGGAATCCTCACCAGCGCAACAAGTTGTCACTATTTTTCCTGGGATCCAAAAAAAAGAGGAAACTAAAAATATTTAAAACGTACACATAAAAACATGTGATGAAACATTGCTTACATTCTACACAAGAGTGTCTACTTTCAAAGCATTTAAAGTCCTTTCAAAACACATTTCAGAGCACTTTATTGTATAGAAAATATTTTAATACCGACTTAAATGTTTTTGGTTTTTACTTCCCGTCTGGTAGTGTGTGCCACTTATGCATTGCTCTTTACATGAACATAACTGTTCTTGCTTTTGGTTAAATGAATTTGCCTGTTGTGGATGTCTGATTAAAAATATATTTATCGTTACTAAATAAACGGTTCTGGAAGAGGATTATTGGACACTTTTCTGTTATAATATTTTTTTGAAAAGATAATAGAGAAGAAGATAATCTGTTTTTATATGAAATTACAACTACTGAGAGCTCTAATCAGGGCTCTCTCTGGAAACTCTTGTTTATTAACTTTACACATTTATTAAATATATGAACTGCTTGTAAATAAAGGTACTTTAGCATTATGGTATATGAAACAAGCTTTAGCCAGGAACTGTTTTAACCTCTCAAAACCCACCCGATCGCTGGCGACCGTTTTTATAGTGTTTAACTAAACTCATACTGCATGAAAATTACTACGGTAAAATTTGTACCGATAAACACATGTTAGACATCGTTGGAAATCTTAGATTCTCCACAAATCAATTCATTTTATGGACACAGTGAGCACTAAAGCACAATTAACACAGATATAGCAACATGTCAAAATGTAAACATTACAAACAAGCCAAAACTACATACATTTGAAGGCATCAATAAGCCGTTTTATAAATCCAAACTTAAAAAGCATTCCATGATGAGAAAATAACCCATAACGGCCGTTTTTTAACATCAGAAAAGTTAGCTGGTCATAGCTAATGTTTAGCATCTTGCTGATAAGACTTCCTCAAACGTTAGCCCGCGATGTTTGGTATGGTTCTTTACATCGTCTTTTTACATACAAGACAAAAGTGTCCGTATCTTTGTATGACTTGATTTGAATCGAGGACAGCCGATGAAGTCTCACAAGCGCACCTTGCCTATCAGCCAATGAGGCACCTAGTAGAGCGATATTACGCCTTATAGAGTCTTGCTGTTATTGGTTAAGACCACCTGGGCTGTTTGGCTTTGTAGCCAATGAAATAAGATTTCAAACAAGGGTAGACATGGCTGGGCTGCATAAAGCAGAGCCGTGTTACCGGCTTGCGTATGAGGGAAATACACTGATGAGACTGGATCAGTGCTCACATTTCAAAGCTGAATACTAACAACGCTACGATATTTTTGAAGTTTGGATGTTCATTTTGTTATATTACAATGACTAAGACCTGGACCTGTTGTAGACCTGTTGTAGTTAGAAGCCTGAAATTTTCTGCATTTGTGGTTGACATGATGTAGAACAAATATAATACAATGAGACATGGCTATTCTGAAGCATGTCTTTATTGCTGCTGTTCAAAAAAGACCTATTATTTTCAAGAATAAAAAAAACAACAACTTTTAGTCATGTTTGAACTGATACAGCTTAGGCTGTGTTTTACTCACACTATTTTCATTTATATTTTCAGAAACTAGAGGATGTTAGCTTCCATATGATGCTTCACACATGTAATGCGAGCTTGCAGTTCCTTAGTTATTTGGTTTTCCATTTGGGTATGCAAAATAGGCGAGGATTACTTCAAATTGGGTGGGTGTTTTAAATATAGAACATGTCTAAGTATAGATATTTTTGATCAAAACGATCAACATTTTATGTATTAACATATTATTTTAGCAAATGTATTTATTAATCACTCAACACTACTCTTTTATGAATTTGAATGAGTTTAAGCAATATTTGTTACTATTGAATCAATTTATATCCTGGTAGTGAAACTTCCCATGTTAGGATAACTTCTAGTTTACAATTTAATCTCTTCTTTTGTTCTTTTTAAATTTGTTTTAAGGTTCATACTCTGGAGGTTTTTCAAAAGGAGCTGAATGAAAGCGAGCACCTGGTGTTCCAGGCAGTGCACGGCCTGCAGAGGGTGCTGCAGGGAGACTATAGGGATGTGGTCAATATGAAGGAGAGCAGCAGACAGAGGCTGGAGGCCCTCAGAGAGGCAGCTATAAAGGTACCTGCATGGATTATGGATCATTCAAACACAAGTACAAAGTCATTGTTTGTGGTTAACCTTAACCAAATCCTAAATGAGTGAAAATAGGCCCAATTATACAAATGTTTTTAATTAAAACAGCTGCTGAAATTAAGTCCTGAGCTCTCTGAGTTCTACAACTCTTATACTTGCAAAAAGGCAAAATGCCATGTCACATTTTTTTTATAGTTAAGACTAGAGCTAGCTATTTTATATAAAAAAAAACAAAAAATTCTCTCAAACATCTAAAAATTTTTTTAAACATTTCTCAATTTGTTATATATACGAGGATGCAATATTTTAGCGTGTTTCTCTGCTTTAT